CTTATTTTATGTCCAGCAGCAGTGTTGACAAACTTGGAAAAAAAGCAAAAAACTTTTTTTCTCGAAATGGTATGTTTTAAAAACATTTACCGAAATGGTACAGTTTATAACGAATTCCTGAAATGGTACAGTTTTCCACCAAGCCGACGATTTATTAAGAGCAGTAACACTCTCAATAAAGTTAGCATGATAAGAACACATGCACATGTCATGAGGTAGATCCTTATTTAATTTAACGTGATTTGGTCTATGTTCTCCAAAGAAGGTGAGGCCACAACCATCTATCAGAAATAATAAAATAAGTTATTAAAACAACTTAAAAAAAATAAAAAGTCTAAAATATTGTTAAATTAAAATTTTTAAAAAATAAATAATTATATTATATATTAAACAATATAATATTATATTTATATTTTATTAAATATTAAAATATTTTGTTATTTATTATATTGTTTATTAAATCATAAATAAATTTAAATACATTTCCCTTTGGTTTTTGCTTCGTCGTTAAAAATTAAGAAGGCTTCTTTAATTGATAAAAGCATATGTCTAGTTGATAGAAGGTTTCTTTCTCCAGTTTCCACATTATGGTACTGCTTAACATCTTTCATTTTCGGCGAAACTCTAGAAATATCATCACGTTCATAAAATACCTTAATTTCTTCGATAAGCTCAGAATTTATAAAAGCGTTTTTTCCAGACGAAGGTACAATATTGTTTATTAACTCGTTTTTCTCGGTTTCTTTCATATTCATAATGATTTTGGCCAAAACTACTGTTTTCCGTTCATCAGCAACAGGCAGTGCTCTCATGGTTTTTTTCACTGCTTTACCAAGCGATTGTGTGGATCTATAAGGATTATTTTTTTCACCTATATTGCTTATATTTGCAGAAGCATTTTCCTTAGCATTTTTTTGGATCGAATTCAATTTCAAATTTTTTCTATATTTTTTTACTCTTTGACAATTCTCTATACCACGTCTTTTGCGGAGTTTATTTAATTGCGAAATCGGCATATTATTTTCCACCTCTTTCATCTTCTTGCGCCGCTCCCTCTGATCAGCTGCTCGTTTCTTTTTAAAATCTTCAAATTTTTCTGAGATTTTTAATTTCTCAATAAAATTTTTGTTTTTTTGAGCCTTGCTCAACTTTACCTATACATAAAAAGGTTTTTGAGGTTAGAAAATCAACATAATAATATAATATTTAATTATCAATAAAAAAAGACTGTTACATTACAAATAATTTTAGTCTTAAAACTAAGGCATAGATTAATATATTTCTAATTTTATGTTTTATTTCAAAAGTAGGATAAAATTGATCGAAGAAAAGTTAATACTACTTTTTGTTAATGCTATAGATTTCACGTAAAAAAACTTGTAATAATTTCGGACTGTTACATTACATTAAAAATTGCAGTCGAATTCTTTTTATTTACAAAGGCAATCAACACTTTTTTTTGAAAATATCTTACTCAGTTCACTTCAGTATAACCTAATTCTACTCGACAATATTAATAATTAAATAAAAATGACTTGATTACTTTTGCAAATGACCGCCAAAATGGGCCCTTTTCGTTTTTCTAAAGAACCAATGAAATCAAACAGTTAAATTATCGATAAATTAATAAAAACCGCATGATTCGACTTATCAAAACATGTAGATTGATAATAAAAAATTTTTTTAAATTAAGATTTTGCTCCAAAATTACTAAATTGCGATTATCTCGAAAACTAGAACCGACAATATAGGCCCTTTTCATGTGGACGTCCAAATATATTGATAAAAATATATAGTGATGAAATATATATATATATATAATATATAATATATATAATATATATATATATAAATATATATATATATATATAATATATATATATATATATATATATATATATATATATATATATATATATATATATATATATATATATATATATATATATATATATGACCTGGACAGTGAAAAAGGACCTTACGTGCGAAAACAAGTTTTCGAGAAAACAGCAGTTAATGTTTAACTCAGAAAAACCCTTGTAACTTTTTTAAATATTAATATTTTTTAATCAATTTAGGCTTATTTTCTTCACCGTGGATCACAGTATCAAAATAAAAAACATACAAGTAGTAAACAATTTTTTTAAATAATTGTTTATATAAATTAATAACAAACTCTCCAAACATAGAAAAAATAATCTAAGTTTTCTAACTAGCAACAATAAGTATAAATAAGTGACACATGTTTGTAAGGGTTTTCGAGGCCGCTAATTACGAATATGATGTTAAATTGACAATTTGACAGTTGACAGCTGTCAACTTCTCTAAAAAGTAATCGTTTTTTGTAAAAAGACAGTAATAACGTTTTTGAGGTCGCTGATTACGAATATAATATCAAATTTGAATTTCAACTGTTGACAGTTGTCAAGGAAACTGTCAACTTTTCTAAATAATAAAAAATTATCGTGTTTGTTATTTTAATTTGTATAATAACAATAAATCAGTTTTTTCGTACTTTTACTCTTGTTTCTTTTGACTTTAAAATTTTTTTTTAAAACTGCTAATCAACCTATGACTTTTTGGTTTTCACCATCTTAAAGAGTGTTTCAAACCCTATCCGAATCAACAAAAAAGTAAATACATGATTTTTTGACACGTAAGGTCTCTTTTCATAGACCAGGTCACATATATTGATTAAAATTAAAAATTAATCTTGTATCAAACTCTTACTTGTAAAAAAAAATAAACTGTGATTTAAAAACATTTAATATTGTTCACTATGTTTCAATATGATTTTATTGATTATTTTTAGAAAAGAGATTTTAATATTCAAAAAAAGAAAAAAGTTACGTTCCATTAGGTAGGGGGGAGGGGGTTCGGTAATATGCTACGTTAAGCTACGTGGGGGAGGGGAAGGGTCGAAAAGTTCAAAAATCGGAGCTACGTGGTTTATGTATGGTCCCTAATCAGCGACCCCAAAAACCCCCGAGTTAGTAATTCCATGCAATTTTATTGATTTTCAAATATTTTCATCTGCCATATTGGATCCGCTATTTTGAATTAAAATTAAACTTCATATTCGTAATCTGCAACCCCTAAAACCGCCAAAAAGTTATTTTCAGGTGATTTAAATCAAGTTTTAAATATTGATGATGCATTTGCTATTTATCAAGTATTTTTCTTTGATTTTTCTGCCATTTTGGATCCGCTATCTTGAATTTTTAAGTTGTCAAGTACGCAGTTCGAAAGTACAACTATTTTATCCACCTATAGCATACATGAGACCCGCCAAAAAAATTCTTATTGATGTGAAAAGCGTGTTTAAAAAAAAAGATCCTACGATTATTTCGGTATTTTTTCTATTTTGGGCGCCATATTGGTTTCCCTGATTGTCGAAATGCTTTTTTGACCCCGGATTCTGAAAGAGCGGACTTCAATACCCCCTAATACTGAAAGGTTTATAAAAATCTGATCATTTAGGATAAAAATTCTTACCTTGAACTTCAGTCAAAAATTTTGGACATTTGGGCGTTAATGGGTTAAAGTGAAATTTTTGAATAATTGAGGAGCCGGATGAAACATCTGCCGCTACGGCCCGTCGTAAAGGACAATACCAGTCAGTGAGCAGTGAGCGCCTCTGGGCGCTCACGCTAATATATATATACATATATATATATATATATATATATATATATATATTATTATAATATTATAATTATTATTATATATATTATTATTATTATTCCGTGCTTGGTTGGAACTTTTGTTCTAATTGGAACTTTTGTTCTACCTGGGGCGCATTAGAGCTGTTCTTTTGCGCGGGGTTGCTGGTCCTCTATCGGACGCGTGCCAGGTGGCGGATAGGTTAGCTTCCTAGAAATAGGTGGTATCGAGGAAATCAAATACTCGACGCGGACCAAAACCAGCAAACAAGAAACATCCATCATGAGCGATTGTAAAAACGAGGAAGAGTACCTGCGGGGTAATGCTACGGCTAAATCCCTCACTGGTTCCGATCGTCAAGCGCTTTCGAGCGTGAGGGCGGTGGCCAGTGGCCCAAGGATGCAGGAGGGCAACAACGCGTTGGTAGTGCCACAGATCATTGTGGACAGGTCGGAGAGACGAGGGAGTACGAGCAGCGTGACGAGTCAAGCCAGCTGCATTTCTGTCTTCAGTAATGCCTCGGCAAAGGACATTGCAAGCTGCAACCAAGATCGAGATGAATGCATTAAGCTGCGGGAGGAAGAGGCAACATGCATTCTAGCAATGGAGGAAGAGGTTAACAAGATGATGAAGTCCTGCGAGGTCCAGAAGAATGTCAATATGACAATCAAGGACGGACTCAAAAGCATGAAATCGCTCATACAGGAGACCAAGGAGAAGCACGTAGCAGCTACGAAAAAGGATGAGAGTCTCTACCAGGGATTGACTTGGTCGGAAGAGGCCAGACAGGATCGTAGAGTTAGACAAGATCGCTGTAACGCGATCGTGTTGAGAAACGTCGTCTTGGATGCTCAGAAGCGAAAGAGAAGTGATCCTGAGCTTGCGAAGGATCCAAAAAGGAAAAGGGAGGAGGGACCTCCTAAAAGATCCAAAGGCAAGGAGATGAAAACGGCACCAAAGACAACTTTAGATAAGAAGGGAAGAGCCACAATGGTCGTCAAAGTGGCTGAAGGAACTACCTTTGCCGAGGTGCTGGCGAAGGTTCGAAAAGAGGCTGACTTGGAGGCCAGCCAGACAAGGGTTGTGGGAGCTGTACCCACTAAAAAGGGAGACCTCCTTATTAAAATTGGGGGGTCTTCGAACAGGAAGTTGTTTACCGAGGAGGTGACAAAGGTGATCGGCGATCTAGGTAAGGTGCAGATGGCGGATCGGCAGACTGTGCTGGAGATCCGCGACATGGACACCCTTACCGAACAGGAGGATGTCAAAGAAGCCCTGGACAAACTATCTACGGTGCCAGCAGGAAGCAGATGGTCCTTGGACCAAATAAGCGAGGTATGAAACTCGCTGTCGTGGTCACCACCCAGAAGGATGCTACCAGACTGGAGAAGATAGGGCACATTAAAATCGGTTTTGTGTCCTGCAGAATAAGTAGAAGAGTTATGGTCACAAGGTGCCACAGGTGCTTTGGTTATGGCCATATAGGTCGAGACTGCCAAGCAGTAGATAGGTCAGCTGCGTGCTTCAAGTGCGGAGAAGCCGGCCATAAGGTAGCAGATTGTAAGAAGAGCCCATGCTGCTTCTTATGCAAGGCGAAGTTCGGCGAAAAGGAGAACATCCAACACGTCGCTGGATCAGGTCGGTGCAAGGTCTTCAGGACTGCCTTAGAGGAAGCTAAGAAGACCCTGTCAAGAACAAGGAGAAAATAATGGCAAGAAGAATAGCGGCACGGAAGAGTCGCGCTAGCGACTAAATGGGACCATCCATCTGCAAAGTCTGAAGCCGAAAGGTAGTTCCGTAGGTGGATAGAAGGTTCGAAACCCAGGGGAATCAAGAAGAGGTTTTAGTCGGTATTGTGACTGCCGTAAAAGCAGGCATGTGAGGTTTCTTTTTTTTCCTTGCATTTTGTGCGAGTCCGACATACCCCAGGTAAGTGGGATCTTCCTGGGCATGCGTTAATGCATTTTCTCTTCTCCCCCGTGAAAAAAAATTATTATCATTATTATTATTATTAATATTTATTATTATTATTATTATTATTATTATTATTATTATTTTTTTTTTTGCTTAGGGAATTTTGGGAAATCTGCCTACAGATACCTTGGACTCCGCACTCCAAGGTTATGTGGGGTTGGTGTGATAAAACAAAAGGAAATAAAAAAAATTGAAAAATAAATATATCAAATAGTAAATTTAATAAACTGGCGACCTACTGCCAGCCCGACCCACTAAAACCCGTAACCCTTCTTCTGGAGCCCTTTACCCTCCCTCGGAACTGTCGTAAGACTTTAGCCTTCGAGGGTGGCGCTCCAACTCTGTCGCTAATGCGACCTTCTGCTTTTTTCTGCGGTTATCCTGCGTTAATAGTTAAAAATTTAAAACTATTTCAATATAAAGCGGAATTAACAGCACAACAATAATTAAAAATAACAAATGTGTAATTAAGTGTAAAAAGTCAGAAGATAAAATTATAAACGGATATATAAAAAAAAGAAAAAAATAAACGCGTATAAAAAATTGAAAACATAAAACTGTACAAAGATGAATAAAAAAAAACACAAACAATTAAAAAATGTATAAAGACAAATAAATCACAAAATAAATTAATAAAAAACAAACGAACAAAATTAAAAGCTGTTTAAATTACGCTTTTTGGCGGCCGTCGAGATCCTTCCTCGACATAACCGAGATTATGAAGTTCTCGACTTGCCGCCAATTCTCTTCCGACTGGGTCATCAGCGATACCATGTTCTCCGGTGTAACTTGACTGTTTACACCTTCGAACATGGCCCGCCTCTCCAAGTCCCAATTCTTGCATGAGAAGAGGGTGTGCTCCGCGTTGTCCTCAGGGAACTGGCAAAATGCACACACCTCGCTCTCGCGTAATTTAAAGCGACACAGGTACGAGTTAAAACACCCGTGACCTGTGAGCGCCTGAGTCATATAATAGGAAACCTGACCGTGTTTCCTATTTATCCAGGTGGCGAGTGCCGGGATAAGGCGATAAGTCCATCGACCTTTTTCCTCACTATCCCATCTTTCTTGCCATCTTTCTATGAGCCTGTGCCTCGCTTCTTTGCGGATCAGGCCCTTGCTTGGTCTTATTTCCTCATCCAAGGAACTTCTTTCTTTAGAAAAGAGAAACATTTCTTCCCTTTCCCTCGCCAAAAGATCTGCTAAGGGACACTTGCAAGGACCTGCACAGCACTCGTAGATACCGTCTTATATGCAGAGATGATACGCGTTGTTATCGATCTCTGCGCCGACAGTATCTTTTCACAGATGGTCACACATCTTTTGCACCTCAGGGATGGGGCCCACGCTGGTGCTGCATAGAGCATTTTAGCGTGGGCGACACTTGCCACCAGTCTCCGTTTGTGTTCACGGGGTCCGCCTACATTTGGCATTAACCGTGAAAGATTAGCCGCACACTCGATTGCCTTATTTGACGCCGTAGCCATGTAGTGGTGGAAGTTTAACCTTCCATTCAACTCCACACCAATATATTTAATTTGCTTACTCCACTGGACCTCGAATCCGTCTATCATGATTCGTGGGAGCTCATAACCACGTCTGTCTGTGACCAGCAGTGCCTCGGTCTTTTCCAGGGCCATTTCAAAACCTCTGGTATCCAGCCAGCTTTTTGCTAGTCGCAGACATTCGTTCACCAATGTCCCAAGAGCCTCCTCACTCTCAGCAGTGCACACGAACAACGCGTCGTCCGCAAAGCCGATGATCATCGCACCTTCGGGCAGATCCATTCGCAGAAAATCATCGTAAGATACATTCCATACAAATGGACCCACCCTCGAGCCTTGAGGATCCCCACGCTGCATCTCTTCCCTGAGAATGCAGGTGTCTCCCTCATATATAACCCACCTGTCGCTAAGATAATTATCCATTATCCGCAACAAGTAGGGCGGCATGTTTTTCTTTTTCATCGACTCGATGAGATCTTTCCATCTTGCGGAATTAAACGCGTTGCGTATGTCAATTGCTACCAACGCGCAGAAGCTCTTCTTTTTTCCGGGTCCCAACTTGTTTTTTCCTGCTTTGGCTATGTCCACAACTGCCTGGATGGCATCAACTGTGGACTTGCCTTTACGGAAACCAAATTGGTGATCCGATAGACTATTCTCTCAGGTCAAGTGGCTTTGCATTCTCTGCAGAACCATATCCTCTAGAAGTTTACCCATCGTATCTAGCAGGCATATAGGCCTGTATGATGAGACTTTATCTAGAGGTTTTTCACCTTTCCTCAGGAGGACTAACCTCTGTCGCTTCCAGTCGCGGAAGATCTCTCCTCTTTCAAGGCAAAGATTGAAGCATCGAAGCAGAATCTGGGGTGAAGTGTCGATTACCAACTTTAGGATCTCGTTACTTATCCCATCGATTCCAGGCGCCTTGCCTGTTTTCAATTTTTTGCCTGCTTTTTGCAGTTTACTAAGTGTGAAGAGTTCTTCCTCTTCGACTTTGCAAAAACTCCAGTCCCTTCTAAGGTATGGTTCTGCAGGAGGAAACAAAGAACTTATTATCTTTCTGACCCAATCGGGATTGTCCAGGCCGGGGGTCTTTTGCCTCGTCACTATTTTCTTAGTCACGATTTTAAAAGCCAGACCCCATGGGTCCTTATCGACTTCCTCGATTAGGTCCTTCCAGGTACGGCTTCGCGACTTGCGGATCTCTTTCTTGAGGTCCTTTTTCGCCTCCTTGAAAGCCTCTTTCAGCAAGGGATCTCCCTTAGATCGGGTATATGTCCTTCTTGCTTTGAGGCATTCCTTTCTCAAGGAGGCTAGCTCCTCTGACCACCAGTGCAAGGATTTTCTTACGGGAGTGGCGCCTTTGCGTGGCATTGACGCATTGCAAGCGGTGACTATCATGTTCCTCACCGCTCGCACCTCCCCATCCAGACTGCTCGACCTCTTCACCCAGCCCAAGTCCTCAATTAAAAGGGCTTCTCTTAGGGACCGGCCGAACTTTTCCTTGTCGAGTCTCTTCATATTCCACGAGGAGGTTTTGCGACTAGGAGCATCCTGTCTTTTTCCTCCTCGTTTGTCTCCCATCGAGACTGAGAACTCAATGTACTGGTGGTCACTTGCGGTATATTCCTCAGAGACCCGCCAGTCGGTTATGCGGCTAAATAGTTTAGACGATGCGATTGTTAGATCTATAATTGATCCGATCGCACCTCGTCTAAAAGTCCATGTATTGCCTCGGTTTACTGCCAATAAGTCGTTTCTGGAGATAATTTCTCCAATACGAATTCCTCTCTTGTCGAGTCTCGTCTCACCCCACTCTGGCGACTTTGCGTTAAAATCACCAGTGATGATGACATCCAGCCTGGATTCTGTGAGGCTCGCTTCTAGGTCTTCGATATTGGCTTCGAAGTTTGTCAGTGGGTCGTTGGGTGAGAAGTAGCAGCTATACATACGTATATTAGCCACCTCTATCCACACGAACCCACTGCTCGTCTCCAGAAACTTGTCAACCCGCAATTTTGGGTTGCACAGCTTTATGGCAGCTCTCTTCGCCTTATCCTGATACCAAGGGGCGAAGTCGCTTCCTTGATACTGCTCACTGCAGAACAGGATATTGACCTCATTTTCCCTTGCTGTTTGCATTATGAGCAACTGTGCATCCTTACTTGTATGCAGGTTGACCTGCAAAAATTTTAAGGATTTGCCCTTTTAATCTTTTGCAGTTCTTCTCTGTAAACCGGGCAGGCTTTCTTTCCGGAATCGTGATCCGTCTCTGGCTTCCCCAGGTCCAAGCACGTAAGGCATTTCGGCTTAACTTTACAGCTCTTCGCGAGGTGTCCCTCTCCGCCGCATCTCCGACGGTTTTTACTTCTGTCGGGGCCTTTGCAGGTTCGGGTTGAGTGTCCGTATGCTAGGCACTTTTGGCACCTAGCTACTTCAACATGCTCGCGAATTGGAGCATTTATCCAGCCGATTTTTGTTTTACCAAGCTTTAGCAGAGTGTTACTTTCTGCCTCTGTCAGACGTACCAGAGCAACCTTAATTCCTCTGTAGCGCGGCAAAAGTCGACACTCCATCTTCAGGTCGGGTTTACCCAGCTTTTCTCTTAGTGCTGCAGTTACCTCATCCTCTGAGGTGGCTTCGTCCAAATCCTTAATCTCTAGAGACCTTTTGTTTACTAGAGGTGTGACCTCAGCTTTACCATGCAGGGCCGAAGACAGTGCATCTGCAAATTTTAAGGTCTCTCCGCCCTTTTTCACTATCACGAGAACCTCCTGTTTAAAATCCGTCAACTAGAACTCGAGAAAAAAATTTGTTAATTTAGCAGTACTAAAATATTCAATTGTTAATAACTTTTACAAAAAATTTTTTTTTTGGTTAATATTTTTAGGGGTTCTTCTTAACAATATTAAGAGTAAAAAAACTATTTTGGTTCAAAAAGAAAATTTTTTAGTTTTAGGTGATCCGTTTGAGAAATTCTGACCCGTATACTTTAACTCACATATGCTCCTTCTTGCCCATTTTGATTTTA